GACACAAGATTTTCAATGTATTTTGATAATATTAAAGAACTTTGTTGTTCTGCATGTGATAGGATACAAAATCAAAATGTTCATGTTATGTCTGAAGGCATGACACACACACACACATACAGGCAATAGTTAAAAGAGGCAGAATAGTTTTAATTCTAAATATATATATATATATATATATATATATATAGGTGATAATTCCTTATTAATACCATAGACTTGAGCCACAGTTATATGGCAAAACTGTTGTTAATAGATATTTATTTACTAAATTAGGTTATATTATTTATATTGCACAGCACATGAGGGTTATCTGCAGGGAGGTACTTTTGTGGAGAACTTTCTTAAGGTGAGCTGGCTTGTATTACGTTAAACATGTCCAAAATTACAAAAACTCTTATGCAGCCAGCCCATTTACAAGGATTTGAAGCATCCATATTTAGGGATTTCGCCACTGGTGGATATCTTTGTTTATAGTATGGAAGACACAAACATCTACAGAATTCAGGTATGCTTGAGATTTTCAGTCTCTATAGGGGTATACTGATAATCAGGGTTAGGTCAGATTAATTTATTAAAGCAAAACACATGAGAATATCTGCTCAAGGAGACATATATCTTCGTGGAGGACTTTCTAGAGGAAACTGGTTTGTATTTATGTTTCACATGGAAAGCCATCCAAACACTCATGCAGTCAGCCTGCTCATTGGGACTTGAACACGAGTCAAATTAACAATATTCAGCTTTCTTATTCACTTAGTCGCTGGTCGGCTACTTAGAAAAACTATAAGTAGGTACGAAATGTCAAAATCTGTATTTCAGCTTTTTATCAGAATTTGTATTTTTATCTCGTACTCTTGCAAAGCAGAGATATTTTTGAATAAAGACTATATCAATATAAAAAACTATATCAATGTCCCTTTTTCAACTGACCTTTTCTGTTAAAATATTCTACTTACTTAAGCATTTTTTAAAATTTTAATTGATGACTATTTAATTATAGAGATATAAAAAGAACTGCCATCTTATTCATTTAGACTTTTATATAATAAATTATGGAAAGCAAAATAACATGATTTCTTAAACAATTCAAAATTAATTTTAAAGATGGTTTTAGTATATAAATACCAAAGGAAATTCATTAGACAAAATTATTTCTTTCACAGTTGAAAAAAAAGTTTTTTAATTTTATATTTTATTCATAGACTTCATTGTTGAATTGATAAACAATTTAATTGCATTAAACTGTCACATATCTGTAACTTGATAAAAGTTTAGCACAAATTCAGTATGTATTTTAAAGTACTTCACATTTTCTGTTTCTTTCAGATTAAAAAAAATGTGTAAGTTTATATTTAATACAGTAGATAATAAACTGAAACCATAAAAACAAAACATTCAAAAAGGTGACATACTTTTTTTATTTTTTTTTTCTTTAAACAATAACAAATTAAAATTGTTAAATAATATAAGGCTATTTCACAAAATACTTTATATGCGAATGTACTGTACATTATTTACATGAATCAATTATATCATTAACATGCATTAGTGACATCTGCCACATTCAAAACATCAGATGGCCTCCAATATTTTAAATCTAGTCCTTTATAACGGTACCAACATCATTATACTTAGAAAATAGAGCTGGTTACTTTTAACCCCATTAAATGCTACTATGTATTACATGCTACAAATATAGATTACTCATTTCAAGAGAAGTTAAAATTACTGTATTACCCTAATTGTTATTAGTGATACTTTGATCCAATATTTATGGTGTCACATACACTGAATGTGTACTCATAATTAAACAAGTTAATAATCATTACCGTATTTGACGGCATATAAGACGCAACCTTATTTAGAAGGCCACACACAAAGGAAAAAATGTTTCAATAGTCCGCGCGACAGCACGGTACCACAATAACTTAAAATGTGGTTTCTCTTAGTTCTCACGTTTCGTAAAAGCCAAATAAACAATCATTGAATGCAATTACCAAACATATTTTTATTAAGGAAAATTAACAAACAGCAAGCTATTTTGAACATGATATGTAAATTTCAATAATAAATAAATGAATGAACGGCAAGCAATCAAACATAATACAAAATAAAGCAGAAACAACAAAAAACACAGATTCAAGGAAAACGTTGCCTATCATGAAATTAGACTTTAATCACTTTAAAAAAAATAAAAATCCTTTTTACTATCATCATCATCGAAAACGAGAATATCGTCATCACTACTATTTCCGTCATCGCTAGTATCACCTTCTTCGAATAATGCGTCATCTTCTGTTCCGTCAAGAGCATTACTGATTCCGCACTTCTTAAAGGACTTAACAATTGCTTCAGCCTTTACGTTCTCCCAAGATCTTTTTACCCACTCGTACACTTGTGAAATAGATGGCCGCTCCATTCTACCTGAGGGTGTGAGGGCGTGATGTGCCCCTCCTATCCACTTGTTTCATCGTTCTCGCACTTTTTCCTTAAATGACTTATTCACCGATACATCTAAAGGCTGCAATTGGCTAGTCAGTCCACCAGGAATGGCAGCTATCTGGGTTTTTAATTCTCTCGCTTTATTTTTTATGGTTTCAGTTCTATGGGCGCTAAACTGATCCAAAACCAAAAGAGAGGGTTTTCTTAAGAGTCCACCAGGTCGCCTCGCCCATATGTTCTGTAACCACAGTTTCATTCCAGCTTCGTCTATCCAGCCTTTCGGATGAACATGAAAAATTACACCCGTTGGAAGTTTTTCTTTTGAATATGAAAAACGACGGTAGTTTTGTGCCATTAGCACAACATGTTAGAACTATCGTATATCAAAAATAATCCTTTTTTTATGTCCTGTGGTTTTTAATGTTATTGATTTAGACCCTTTAATACTCACAGTCTTGTCGGATGGTACATCAAATGTGAGTGAAATTTCATCCATATTTCCTATTTGACCGAGCTCAAAAGAAGTTTTCTTGCGTGCATTTATAACAAACCTATGAAATGCTAGTATTTTTTCTTCATAATCTACTGCATTTTCCTGTGCATAGCTCGTATCACCTGTGCGCTTTGAATAATGCTTTGTCTTCTGTTCCGTCAATGAGCATGTACTAGCATTCCAGCACATCTTAAGAGGTCTTGAACAAGTTACTGATTCAGCCATGTTACGTCCTCCTAAGATCCTTTTGGCCTCACTCGATTATCACTTGGTTTGAAACACTTATCCCAGATTTCTTCTTACCTATCACCCACATTTTTACGGCATTTTCAAGTTCAGGCCAAAGATGGAGCTGGGCATCGAAGGTTATGTTTTTGTTTTTTTAAGCAGTCTATTTCAGTTTAGAGAATTGATCTTCCTACAGTCGCCAAGTACATATCATTTTTTCGGTAGGTGTTGGACCGAAATGCCTTGCTGCTGCTCTGTTTCCATGCACTTTGGCGTAGTTTAACACTCCTAGTTTATACTGAATTGTATAGCTTAATCTCTTGTTTCCTGTAGTCATATTTTCCAGGGCATTTTTTTAAACAATTAGTTTTAAGCACCGATACCCATACGTTTATACAGAGTAGCACCGATACCGATAGCGATAAAAGGAGTGCGGCAGCCTTCTTATTCAGGGCTCCGGTGCGTTCGGGCAAGAATTATGATTTATTACAAAAACTAAGAAGCACCGGAGCCGACGACATTCGGTGGGTTCCGGCCCAATTTAAGTTCTGATCGTAGGGAAGGGGGGAGTTCTTTTATTATCACAAAAATGAAATATACTTAAAGTGTAGCTGATGAAAATTCCAGGGTGAAACAGAATGAGGGTATGAGAGGGTGGAAACAAAAAATGAGGGGAAAGAGTGAGAGAGAACGCTCTCTTTGATCGCGGCTCTCTGTTGATATAATTATAGCCATCAAGCAGATGGGTGTCAGGGGTAAATACGTCCCGAATCGGACTCCTAAATGTAAAGTTGCTGGTTACGCTTCCCCCCCATTAGTGGATACTGTGGGAAGACGATGTATAGGACGTGCTTGAGCAGTTTATCTCAGTATTTCACTTTTATTGTACTCGCTGTCACTTAACGCACATTTCAGAACACAAATTTTGCTTCCAGCGAAGATAACTAACTGCAAGCATTGAGAACAATACACTAGATACAATGGCATGGCGAGAAATTTAGGCATTCCTAGGTCTCCGGTGCGCTCCGGCTAAAATTGTAATTTATCTTAAAATTTGAGAAGCACCGGAGCCGAGCTCCGGTGGGCTCCGGCGCAATTTAAGTACTGATGGAAATGAATATTTAGACAAAATAATGCATAAGACAATTAACATTACATAACATTACAGAACTAATTCTGGAATGGCTACTATGTGGAAGGCTATCAAATACTGCATTTTTAAAGTAAATAATAGAAGCATATTTCTATCGTAGTTATATGAGAACTGAATAACATGAGATTATAGTATAGTTAGTTATGCGAGAATAACTGAAATAATATTTTCACAAGCATATGCATATTGTTTCAATACTTGGGTTTTCAAAGCAGAAAAAGTTATAAAATAATACACATCCAGAAATAAGTGTCAAAAGTAGCTAGTTATCTGATACATATGTAGATCATATGAGCAGGAATGTGATATATTAATACATATATAAAATCAGATCGAAAAGTAATTGCCCTGCGTTTTCGCAATAGACGCACATTACTCGACTTCTAATGTTAATTTAGCAACATAACAGAACCTAATTAGCAATCAGATACCAAACAAATATAAACACATCTTAATCCCGTTTTTCCCCGTGTATTTTCCTTTCCTCCCTAGCACCTATTTCCCACATGATATTTACTTCCGTTGGCATAATGAAATGTCGCCCATATCCTTAACGGGGCCAAGTTAGCGCAACCAAGGCTGTTCTCCGAACCTTATCTGTTAGTTCAATTAACTTTGTCCTTGCCATGTACGAAATTTTTTCAATCATTCTACGGGCAGAAAGACTTTAATGAAATTATGACATAGAATGGTTTGTTTGTTTCGACCACGGAGTATAACCACCTTGGTTTCGACAAACATTCGCAGTGTTACGCTCGTGGTTGCTGAGTTTAAAATCTACTCTTGAGAACATTTGCCTACCTTTTTATTGAATTATTTAATTTGTATATTTACTATGGTATGTGAATCAATAATTTTTATCAGTTTTAATGTAATTGTATTATTATAGTTCACATATGTGTGAGAGGAACAAAGTGATTGGATTATTTTAAATACAAGATTTATTGGATCAAGATATTTGACACTTTTAAAGTACTAAAAATTCAGTGTATAGTAATCTTATTAAAAAAAAAAAACATATAATTCTTTTATCTGCTGTCGAGGTTCAGTGACTGATGAGAAAAATTATAATGTCGTTTAACTCTTGATTTAAAATCTAAATAACTGAAAATCGATAATAACTTTCATTTAATCGTATACGTGAAACTTCGCAGAATTTTGAACATTACTTTTTGAAATCAAGGCGACTTTTCATTTTACTTTTTTCAAAGGAACTTCAATAAACTTCTTTCATGGATAGCAAATATTGAAGCATCTGTTTAAGAAAATTAATCAAATAATGTTTATTCCTTTAATTAAGATCGTATGTTGCTTTCTTCCATTTTGTGTGCCTTCTTTCTCTTTTTAATGTGGCCTTTTCCTTTGATATAATTTAATAGTACTAATCAGAAAGTCAATTAAAATGAAGGAAAAATTTCTAATAGCTCAGTAACAAACACAACAAAAATTTTTAACAGCTCAATAAATTTAATCATTTCAAGTGTATAATGAATTTATTAGACATTCAAACAATATAAAATCATTAAAAGGGTAATTGTAATTTTTTATAATGAATTTTATATTATTTAGTGAAGCACTTTTACCTTACATTTGAGCTGCTTTTTTTACTCTGTTATTTTGTTTTTTAGTTTTTTTTACGTATTTTTGTATGTTTTTCTTTCATAACTGAGTAAAAATTATTTAGAAAAATAGATTTATTTTTACATTATATATAAGTATTAAAAATTGTAATCAATAGCACAGAATAACACCCTACCCTCTCTCTGCAGAAATTTTTATGTCAGTATTTCAACCTGGAAATTATTTTTTTCCCTAATGATTGCATTAATTGTAACTATTAAATTTAAAAACTTCTTTTTAGTTACATGACTGATATTGTTTAAAATTTCTCTCTATTTCTTTCTTTTTTCTTTCCTCCTTCCTAATTTGATGAAAATAAAATGAATTTGATAGGATTAAAAAAAAGAGGAACTACTTTTATATGTGCCCTCAGGTCGGCAAATTTCTCGCCAAACATTTTTGGCGAGAAACTTCACACTGCTATATCACTACCTAAATTTTTTGTCTACATTTCGAACTTTTAGCTTAAAATGTCTGCAAAAATGCGATTTTCGCACGTGCAAAAACCACGTTCTGAACACGCAATTTAAGCTAAAAATCCGAAATAAAAGGCAGCGAATTAATCTACAAACTATGCACACCTCGCTTTAATAAATTAACATAACAACAATAAATTTCAAGAATAGCAGCGTTCTGTTTAAACTTTATAAAACATCTACGAATTGAACAATCTAGGCATTGCGCACTAATCAACAAAATGAACTCAAATAACTAAAATAAATTTCAAACAATTTAAAAAAAAGAACAGAATTTCATACTAAAAGACAGTGAACATAACATTCTACTAAATATGAACAAGAATAAAACAAAATGCACTTACCATAAATAAATGCTTCTTCGAACAGCAAAAATACCAATTTCAAACATCACCGAAACAATTTCACCACAAATTTGTTGAAAGAATCTTCTCCCATTTCAGAACAACAATGAAAAAATATATAAACCGCCAAATAAAACTCCAAATCACATTTCCGATTATAAGTCGGCAACGTCGCTTTAACACGCCATAACATATTTATACGACTCACTATCTACAAAACTGATACAGTCAAAAGTCTTTAATCCGGACGTCCATAATCCGAAATGATCTATAATACAGACCTCAAAGCTACAAACTTTCTGCGCGTGCGTTTACACGTGTGCATAATACCTTTACGCATGTGCATATGTGTTTACACAAAATGAACATCTCTAGATTTGGTGCTCTTCCCCTAAATTCATCTGTTCTCCCAAATTCGAGATTTTTCTACGTTATATAGCACTACTGGAAATGGGGCAACTGAAACTAATACAGTACAAAGTCTTTAATCCGGACGTTCATAATGATCTATAATCCGGACCCCAAAGCTACATACTTTCTGCGCATATGTTTACATATGTGCGTTTAATGCATAACGGATGGTATAAGCTAGGCTAAAATTATCTAATTATCTATTTCAGTTAATGCTGCAGATTGCATTGTTCCTTAATCTTTGAATTGGATCCGGTTTATTATTTTTTGCAGACTGTTAGAGCAATTTTATAAAAAGTAAGCTTGAACTTTTGATTATGTCAAAAATAGTTGCCAGTTCTGGAGCTGCCAAAAGATCTACAAAGCGAAAGCATGTTTCGATGTCCATCAAACAAAAAGTGGAATTGCTGCAAAAAATGGATAAAGACATATCCGTCTCCAAATTATGCGAGGTGTATGGAGTAGTTCTCTAACCATTTCGAAATCTGTTTATCAATTTCACGCTGCTCTGCGGGGGGGGGGGGGGGCAGCGCACATTTAACTGGAAGTTGATCTGTCAGCACTATCCTCATCTTCAGGGCATATGTTTTTATTTTAGTCAGCTTTTAATTCCTCACTAAATATAGTGTTTCATATCGATGTACTTCGATATAATTTAAATCAATTTCCTCGTTATTATAAATATCACGAATACACATCAAATAGTTTTCTGGCTGCAATTTTCTAATTTCGACTATGCGTAATGTATGCTTTACGCATGCGTGCATTGAAAGAAATGTTTAATAAAGTAAATAAATAAATATTAAGCTTTTTTTTGTAAGTTTTGATACCCTTTAGTTCATAATTGCTCTTTATTTCATAAATTACGGTTTTATATTTTTAATTTTATAATTTCTGCATGCCATCTTACTAGATTTAAGCTGATGATCTATAATCCGGAATCGCCGTAGTCCCGACGAGTCCCGATTAAAGACTTTTGACTGTACTATGTTTCACAAATAAATGTTCAAAACCTTCTTCTCCTAAATACCTGTAGAATTTCTAGCCACCTGAAAAAATAGTTGTACCAGGCACGCGACTAAAATTTTGCCAACACGTCATAAATCACTTAATTACCACACGAACCAACATGCGAATCCAAGTTTCTATGTAAAAAGGGTTGCCACAAAAACCAACATCGCCCCCCAAACCATTGTTGACCAGAACACGCATTCAACCAGAATACAACACATAACGCCACATTTGGCAACTTTAGGGCGCATATAAGAGTAGAGCCAAAAAAGAAAAAAGATTTGATCATATTGTAGAGTTTAGTAGATTCACTTTTGTGTGAAAACTGGAACAGTAGTGACTGCACAAGAGAAGTTATTAACTCTAAAATTTACAATGCATCAACTCGACTCTAACAAACTATGCCTTTGCTTGGGCAGTAATTGAAATCAGATAACGAAACTAAAGGTTTGAAGACATGAAAAAGTGATAGAGCTAAATCCTGTTTCTTAAACCCCGTTAAAACTAGTGGCAGCAAGTAAATGCAATTAAGCCACTTGAACCAGCAATAAGCAAACGTTTAAACAGCAGAGTTGTCGGTTGTCTAACTCTCTCTCTTTTCTACTGAAACCTGCTTTTTGCATTCCTTCATGCTGCCTACCAAATTAAAATATTCTGGCACTGACAATTAGGTGAATGAAACTCCTAAATTTATGAAGGCTTATAGGAAAGATTAGCAATTTAATAAAATTGGTTATTTAAAATAAATATTTAAAAAATCCCTACAATATTTAAAAAAAAAGGATACTTAATATGTTATTAAAATCTGATTTAGAAATGTATAAATATATGCATAGAGTGTGTGTATACATTTATATATATTGAATGATCTAAAATTCACTTAGTTCAAAAACAAGTTTTTTTAATACTTACACAATAGCTGCAAAGTAAGTTCGGAATTACACTTCCTACATATGGGTTCCCTCTTTTTTGATACTACTACTAAATTCTTATTTGGAAATAATATAATCAATATTTCTTTAGTAAAAAAATTACATTTATCACATACAGTCAAAAGTCGTTAATCCGGACCTCAAAGCTACAAACTTTCTGCGCATGCGTCAACGCATTAACACATGCGCATAGCTGTTTACGCATGCGCATAATACGTTTATGCATGCGCGTTTAATGTATAATGGACGGTATAAGCTAAGCTAAAATTATCTAATTATCTATTTCAGTTAATGTTGCAGATTGTGTTGTTCCTTAATCTTCGAATTTTATCCGGCATAAGTAAGCTTGAACTTTCGATTGTGTCAAATAGAATTTCCGATGCTGAAGCTGCCAAAGGATCTACAAACCGAAAGCATGTTTTGATGTCCATCAAACAACTAGTGGAATTGCTGCAAAAAATGGATAAAGGCATATCCTTTGTTTCTCTAACCATTCCGAAATCTGTTTATCAATTTCACGCTGTTCTGCCAAGGCGGAGAGAAACTTCGCGGCGCGCAATGAATTGGAAGTTGATCTGTCAACACTATCCTTATCTTCAGGGCAGATGTTTTTATTTTATTTGGCTTATAATTCCTTACTAAATGTAGTGTTTCATCTCGATGTACTCCGTCTTTGATATGATTTAAATCAAGTTCCTCGTCATTATAATTCGCTTCCAATAGTGAAGAAAGTGACACAGAGGTTATTGAAAATGAAGAAATTTCGATTGACAAATTAGTTGGTATTCTCGACACAGCAGTTATAGGACTTGAACAGTGGAACTTTGTAACTGAACAAGAAATGATGTCTGTTTATAGAATTAAAGAGAAAGTATTATCACATAAAACGAAGCAACTTAAACAACTTATATTGAAAGAAATGTTTAATAAAGTAAACAAATAAATATTAAGCGTTTTTTTTTTGTAAATTTTTATACCCTGTAGATCATAATTTTTCTTTATTTTATAAATTACGGTTTCATATTTTTAATTTTATAATTTCTGCATGCCATCTTACCAGATTTAAACTGAATCCTGAAAAATCAATAATCCGCAATTGCCGAAGTCCCGACGAGCCTGGATTAAAGACTTTTGACTGTATATATGTATATGCATACATACATATATAGTACACACTACATACATTTTTTAATCTTATCCATATAACAGAAAAGTACCAAAACAATAACTGTTTACTCTGATTATGATAAAGTAAGAAAAACTGCAAGCAATTTTTCTGGAAAAAACAGGTTTTATCTTTACTGTGTTTTATAAATCTGATCATATCATTTTTTCTTCCCCCTCAAAATTAATATTTTTTGTAAGCATATTGAGTAGCTATGTTGTTGAGTTAATGCTTACCTGTCTGACATGAGATTTAAGCTGCCTGCTATAGCTTTATAATCATGCATTTTTTCTTTTAATTCTCTTATAGTATTCCTGTCTGATTAATAAGCGAAGTGCCTATCTTAATTGAATAGTGAAAGGTATCTACTTTTAAGAAAACAGCCTACTGTTATAGCGTCTGTTGTATGTTCATAATAGGAGTTATTTTTCAGTATGGCCTTGCCCAAAATATATATTTTTTAAATCTTATAATATTTGCAAAATAGTATGTTTTGGGAGAAATTAAAAATATTGTTTTTTTTCCTTCCAGGTTCATACTTTTTGCTTGATTTAATTATTATTTTAAATGTTGTGCAAGGTAGTTTTCACATATTTTAATGGTTTGTAGACAGTTGTTATTTAAAGAGAGTTTAAGTTAACAAAACTTTCATTTATTCAGGCAGTGCTTATAAGGGATGTTGTACTGAATGATAAATTACCTGCAAAGTTATTTCTTGACAAACACTGTGATTTTATATGCTCTTATGGGAAAAAGAAAGATGATTATGTAAGTATTATTTCATACATTTTTCAAATAGATTTTGTTTTTTAAGAAGTTATATGTGTTAATTCCGAAGCACAGTTGCACAGTATTACCTTTATTTTCAGATTTCTAGGCACACTAGAGTAATTCCTCATAGACAACATACTCTTTAATCATACGATTATGATAATTTCTTATACACATTGGTTTTTTAAAAGAATGATGCAGGAAGTTTAAAGAAGCAAGGTGGAAGCTAGCAGAATAATGACGTAATTAGCTCACCAGAGGTTTTATACGAGAGTAGGTGCAATTCTAGAAACAAGCTATGATTGGTTAATACAGTACAAAATCTTTAATCTGGACTCGTCAGGACTTCGGCGATTCCAGATTAGGGGTTTTTCCAGATTATAGATCACCAATTTAAATCTTGTAAGATGACATGCAGAAATTATACAATTAAAAATATGAAACCATAATTTATGAAATAAAGAGCGATTATGATCTAAAGGGTATCAAAATTTACAAACAAAAAAAGCTTAATATTTATTTCTTTACTTTATTAAACATTTCTTTCAATGCAAGTTGTTTAAGATACTTCCACAAAAAATTCAAAAAGTTCCTTTTTCTTTTTTTCTTGTGTCATCCAATGGCAGACTCCTTGCATAATTTTGTGACGGATATGCCTTAATCAATTTTTTGCAGCAATTCCACTTTTGTTTGATGGACATCGAAACATGCTTTCGCTTTGTAGATCTTTTGGCAGCTCCAGAACTGGCAACTCTTTTTGACATAATCGAAAGTTCAAGCTTACTTTTTATAAAATTGCTCTAACAGTCTGCAAAAAATAATAAACCAGATCCAATTCAAAGATTAAGGAACAACGCAATCTGCAACGTTAACTGAAATAGATAATTAGATAATTTTAGCCTAGCTTATACCAATCCATTATACATTAAACGCACATACGTAAATGTATTATGCGCATGCATAAAGATATTATGCGCAGAAAGTGTGTAGCTTTGAGGTCCGGATTATAGATCATTATAGACATTCGGATTAAAGACATTGTACTGTAATTAGTTTCAGTTGCCCCATTTCCAGTAGTGCTATATAACTTTAAAAAATCTCGAATTTGGGAGAACAGATGAATTTAGGGGAAGAGCACCAAATCTAGAGATGTTAATTTTGAACTCGCCAGTTATTTTTTTAAAGCAGCTATTGTTGAAAATATGACCTGTTGTAACCCTTTTTTTGCCTCATCTCTCCTCCTTGAAATAATTCTAACTTTTATATAAGGTTTAGTTCTTATTTTTAAAGGGATATAGCAAATACTTCTACTTTTTTTTCACTGCCACTGTTTGTATTAAGAAACTGTTCCAGCCTAATTAACATGCAAAAACGAAACTCGATGTTGCGTCATTTGGAAAGCTGAGTCTTGCCACAGCTGATTGGCTGCCGTGAGATGACGTCATGTCTACTTCAGGTATAAGTATTCGCGTCGCTCTGGCTTAGTCCTTCTTGTTCCTGTTTCATTGCTCCTTGGTATGCCGTTCCAGCGCTCATTGGAAGACGTTATTGCGTGTGTGCCGTCCAGCGATAAGGACCATGGTTCCAGTCCATGATGATTTTTCCTGGATTCTTCAAAGCGGCTGCCATGTGAGCAACTGCTGTGGGCAGCATCCTGTTTGTATGGTTCGGCGGTGATAGATACCAAGCTGTGATTTCCAGTGGTCAATTGCCGTGGGCGGAGTCCTGTTTCCAAAGTTAAGCGACGTCAAATTCCAAGCTGTGATTTCCGGTGAGCAACTGCCATGGACGGCATCCTGTTTCATGAAGGTGGCATCTTTAATACAAGTCTTTTTGTAGGTCTAGCGGTGATGTACACTGGTGTGCAAAAATTAAGGACGAGACGGCTTTTTCAATATAACTTTGTGCAAAAGCTTTCCAAGTCAACACATTTAATACTGTAAGATCACCAATACGTAAGGGCATGAGTAATGTAAGCAACACTTACTAAAAGAGAAATCAGAGGGATAAAAAGAAGCTTTATTGAAAAAGTAGCATGGAGCACAATACGACTGAAGGCCGAAACATCCCTGTGATGGGTGTCCAGCAAGAAACATCCGGTCTTTAATAGGGGATATGATCTTCCCTGAGTGCTAGGCAGGTTTCACAGCGTCTGCCCATGCTGAGAATGAGGGTGTCAATGAGTTGTTGAGGCATTGCTGCCCATTCATCTTGCAGTGCCAATCGAAGCTCTGGAATCGTTACTGGTGGTAAGGTACGAGCTGCCAAGCGTCTGCCTAGAAAATCCCATACATGCTCGATGGGATTGAGATCCGGAGATCGTGCCAGCCAATCCATACGTTCAATATCCTCACTCTCTAAGAACTGTTCGGCAGCTACTGTGCGATGACATGGTGCATTGTCATCCATGAAAAGGAACTGCGGACCCATAGCGCCTCTAAAAAGACGCACATATGGAAGAAGAATCTCGTTACAATAATGGGTCCCGTTGACTGAACCTGCGTCGAAGAAGTGAAGGTCTGTACAACTACAAAGCGTGATGCCTCCCCAAACGAGAACACCGCCATCTCCATACCTGTCCCTTTCAATGATGTTCGAGGGATGATTGCAGCTTTCCCGCTCTCTCCAGATGAGGAGAATCGCTACTCAGACTGAATCTGCTCTCATCTGTAAAGAGTACTCGTCCCCATTTATTGTCTCTCCAATTCCGGTGTTCCCGGCACCACAGAGAACGCCTTCTCCGATGGGCAGGCGTTAGAGGTACACACCGTACAGGGCATCGTGCAAACAGACCACCACCGTGCAGTCTTCTGGCCACGGTAAAATGCGATATCAGATGTCCAGTCGTCTGTGTCGTGTGTCTAGCGATTTCTCCCGCTGTCTGCCGCCTGTTTCTTCTGGCCTGTAAGGCAATATACCGGTCATCTGTGGGTGTGGCTCCTCGTGGACGACCACTACTAAACCCCCGGATAGCTGTTCCTGTAGTTTGAAATTGTCTCCAAAGTCGTGGAACGATGCTGTGAGCAATTCCGAACTCTGCAGCCACACTTGTCACACTGCGGCCTTCCTCCAACTTCCCAATGATTCGACCTCGGGTAAAAGCACCCAGATGTCGTCTAACAGATTGATTATTCGCCATTTCTCGCTGAGGCAGCAACTCGGTGTGATTTTAACTGCTATACGGCGAGCAATCTCTTTGCCAGAAATAGTGATCTTACACCGACAACTTGCTTTATACTACTCAGACACTCCCCCATTACGTCTACCTGCATATCTGCGCATGTGCTACCGTACATCACCTTACTTAATCTCCTGATTGGTCTTTCTGTCCGCTCTGCCTCTTCGTTCAGCTGATATGCTAATTTTTCTACTTCGTCCTTAATTTTTGCACACCAGTATATTTCCAAGCTGTGATTTTTCATGAGCAACTACATTGAGCGGCTTTTGTCAGTTCAAGAACATTCAACGTTTAGTTTAATTTTTCAGGTGCCTTCTTGGCCAAAAGCATAGACCTTTTATAGTGAAGTGAAATTCATATTAATTGCATAGTTTTTGTTGTGTGATATGTTTTTTGTGTATTGAATGCCAGTATTCAAAGATCAGGTAATATATTTACTGTATCATTAATAGTGTAATATTCTTTAAAGGAAAAACCCTTGGGGTTACTGAATAGTCAACTAAATGTAATTTGTGATAATGATTATGTTACACTCTTTAAGTTTCTGGTGTTGATCAAACTTATTTATTGTATTTTTATTTATTTTTTTTTATATATATTGTTAATAAATTGGTTAAGTTTAAAACTTTTGTCTTCTATGTCTGCACAGTATATAACCTTAGGAAGCTTCTATTGCTATTTCTGCTAAATGCTTTTATAACTTTTTAAACTTTGCTTTAGCATCAGCTATCACATTTTGTTCTATCGTACACACACACACACACACACATATATATATATACAGTCAAAAGTCGTTAATCCAGACTTGTCGGGACTTCGGCGATTCCGGATTATCGATTTTTGATGATTATAGATCATCAGTTTAAATCTGGTAAAATGGCATGCAGAAATTATAAAATTAAAAATATGAAACCGTAATTTATGAAATAAAGAACAATTATGATCTAAAGGGTATCAAAATTTACAAAAAAAAAAAAAAAAAGCTTAATATTTATTTGTTTACTTTATTAAACATTTCTTTCAATGTAAGTTGTTTAAGTTGCTTCGTTTTTTATGTGATAATACATTCTCTTTAATTTTATAAACAGACATAATTTCTTGTTCAGTTACAAAGTTCTGCTGTTCAAGACCTATAATTGCTGTGTCCAGAATACCAAGTAATTTGTCAATCAAAATTTTTTCATTTTCAATAACCTTTGTCACTTTCTTTGCTATCGGAAGCGAATTATAATGACGAGGCATTTGATTTAAATCATATCAAAGACGGAGTACATCAAGATGAAATACTACATTTAGTAAGCAATTATAAGCCAAATAAAATAAAAACATCTGCGCTGAAGATAAGGATAGTGCTGACAGGTCAACTTCCAATTCATTGGGTGCCGCAGCGTTAAGATAAACAAACGTTAAAGTTTAGATAAACAAAGGATATGACTTTATCCATTTTTTGCAGCAATTCCACTTTTTGTTTAATGGACTCCAAAACATACTTTCGCTTTGTAGATCCTTTACATATTAGTAAATATATATCGGAAATTCTATTTGACATAATCGAAAGTTCAAGCTTAAGTTTATAAAATTGCTCTAACAGTCTGCAAAAAATAATAAGCCGGATCCAATTCGAAGATTAAGGAACAATGCAATCTGCAACATTAACTGAAATAGATAATTAGATGATTTTAGCTTAGCTTATACCTTCCGTTATACATTAAACGCGCATTCGTAAACGCATTTTGCGCACGCTCACACGCAAATTCGCAGCCGTAAAGGTCTTACGTGCATGCGTCAATGCGGCGCATGCGCAGAAAGTTTGTAGCTT